GATATATTTAATGATAATAAGACTACAACAGTCACAACAAAAACCACTGACAAAATCTAAAACCTATATAGTGGAAAAAATTAGATGAAAAGCAACATATAGATTTAGATGTGATACTGATATAAAGAGGACACTCTAATGTACATTATTTTCATCATACACTACCGATAAGATATAAAGTTCATGAATACCAGAATATCAAAATTAACCAAAACAAAAAAGCAGAAGACTACAAAGTATATTTTTCAAAAATCTGATAGACGAAATTGAAATAAAATATGCAAGACTTAGAAAATTAAAATTGACAGTCTTCACAAATGACTAAAAATAAAGAAATGTATTATAAGATGGATATAAAAATGAAAACTAAAATATTCCCCAAATCAAACACAGGGCACAATTTGAAAACATCATTACATACCTAAATTCTGGAATACAATTGTAATAAATTGTTAAATTTCATAGTAGAGAAAACTACTATGTGTTAATGAAAGACATCTTGTGGATGAGCAAAGAAAAGGATGCCAAGAAGGTTAAGAATGTTTGATAAATTTGTGGAAGAAAATTTGATAATCCTAATAAAGACTACAAAAAAAAATTCCCATGACAGAATACCAAAAAATATTTCCAGATGATTAAAAATTTTAATGTAAAAAAGACAACCTTAAAACTCAAAATGAGACTATTTTTATGACACTAGAACAGAAAAAAAATTATTTATTTATCTATTTTTTTATGTGTATGAGTATATTGCCTGTATGTATATAAGTACATCCATATCATGCAATGCCCATGGAGGTCAGAAGGGGGTGTCAGATCCCCTGGAACTGGAGTTATGGTTGTTAGCTGCCATGTGGGTTCAGGGAACCAAACCCAGGTCCTCTCAAGAGCTCTTAACTGCTGAACTCTCTCTCTAGCCCCAGAAAAAATTTCCTAAACAAGATCTAAAAAACAATAAAGGAATGATAAATAGAGCTACATTTAAATTTTCATTAAACTTTCATTCAAGGACAACACAATATGGGTGAAAAGGCACACTGTAAATGGGGCTTTAGGATAATTCTACAATATGCAGCCAGTACAGGATTAGTATATGTATAGATTACCTGAAGGGCAAATGACTCTGAAAAGCTTTTCAGAAAGGCAACATCAATGATCACTACCAAATGAACTTAATTAATGACAAGGGAAATGCAAATTAACAATGCAATTTATATCTATTAGGTGGGCAGAAATTAAGAAATCTAATAATCAATGTTATACACTGCTCATAGGGAAGTATCAGCAACAATGGCCCAAGAGTTAAATATGTCTATATATGGGGAATCTCATTAATTCTTGCAAGCCTCAAAGATAAACAAAATTAAGGGGCATACTAATTAGAGATAAATATAAGGTGATTTTCTTTTTAAATTGAAGAACAACAACCCCCAAATTCAGACAAACAGGTTCCAAAGACAGGAAGTTTGAAAAAACTAAGGATTAGCAAGCAATAAAACCAGGAATAAAAGGTGCAGAAGTATTCGATGTATTGTTACATGTAAACTGTATAAATGTAACATACTTTCTTTATTCATATTCCTGTATGACATAAACAAAACTAATTATTAGATTAAAAGTGGCTAAGAAGGAGTGGCAAGAGCTGATTAGATTATTTAGAAAATTTTTCCTTCTGGAATACACAGAAAAACTTGACAAAATAGTTTTTTTAAAATCAATGAAAGCAACAAAAAGAACTATCAAAGCAGTAAGAATTAGCAGAGCAAATTTTCAAAGGGAGCAAATCAAGAGATTTGAGCCTGGCACAGAAGTTATTTTTCTGACCAAGGTGAATGCTAGTCCAAAATGTGAAGGAAGAGGCTGAGGTGACATCACTGTCACAGGGTTTAATGGCAAAATTAGAAATCCTGGGTCCAGTTAAGAAGAAACCTTAATGGATATCCTAGACTTCTTGACAGCTACTCAACAAAAACCCTAGCTATAAACACAAAAAAGGAAACCTGCCAAAAACTGAAGCCAAGGATGGGTATATCTCACCAGTACTAGCATGGACAATAAAAACAATCAATCAAAAAAACCTGAAGCCCAGTTTCCAGTTGGACTAATGTAATCTGACAAGAGCTTAATTGCCTGCCAGAAGCAAAAGTAAATTCTCACTGGTGAATATAAACTCATCTATCATCTCAATTATCTCTACAGTTTTTAATATAACTATATGTAACTGTATATAGTCCAGTGGCAGAGTACCCCCACCCCCAAGCAAGCACAAGACCCTAGATTCAATTTCCAGTACTGAGAAAAAAAAAATATTGCCAACCCATACCTTTAATTCCAATATTCAGAAGATAGAGGCAAGCAAATCTCTGTTAGTTCAAGACCAGCCTGGTCTACATAGGAAGTTCCAGGCCAGCCAGGACTACATAGTAAGATTCTATCTTTAAAAAAAAAAAAAAGAAGAAAAGAAAAAAAAAAGAAAAAAAATTAGCACCCTAATCATAAATTAGCGCTATTGATCATAAATAGTGTATGTAAGGTATAAGAATTGACCAAAAGTTTAGAGAAAAACCAGACAAGAGAAAGGTCACAGAAAATTCAGGTAATGAGCGTACTGGATCTGAACCGTAAATAATTGAGACGTTCACGGATTAGGGCTGAAGCCTAGCCTCAGTTGGTAAAATGCTTTCCTAGCAGGTACAAGGCCCTGGGATCCATCCTTGGCAACAAGTAAACCCCTGGAATAGTAGCACATGCCTATAATCCCAGCACTTGGGAAGTAGAGGCAGGAAGGTCAGAAATTCTAGTTCATCCCTAGCTACAAAGTGAGTTGGAGGCAAGCCTGGGCTACATGAGACCCTGACTCCAAAAGAAAAACAAGTCTAAGGACTAAGTAACAGAAGTTTGGTGGAGGAACTAAAAGTTATGTTTAAAAACAATAAGGAGCCAGTACATGGCTCACTCCAGTAATCCTGGAACTTGGGAGGAAGAGGAAGAAGGCTAGCCTCAAATTCAAGTCTCACAGGGTTTATATAATAGCAAGTCCTAAGTCAGGCAGGACTACGAAGCGAGACCTTGTCATAAAAAGACAAAAGTGAGTGAGTGAATGTGTATGAAGTGTGCTCAATGTATAAACTGGAGAAGATTAGGGAACTCAAAAAGTGAAACATCAGACAGATAGCAAAAAAAAAGAGGAAAGTCATATAGCTGGATGGGGGGCAGGGGGAGCACAAAAGTACATGGTAAGTACTAACCAAAAGAGAAATGGTACTTGAAGAAATAATGCATGAAAATTATTTCAAATTTACCAAAGGTGTCAAACCATGGATTCGAGAGCTATAAGCATCTAAATAAGTGTGAAGAAAAGTATATTCAGGTACACCATAACAGAATCAGAAACTAATACAAAATAGAAGACTCAAAGCATGCACAACAGAAAGATGAAAAAGTTAAAGGGTAACAAGAGGAGCAGCAGGCTTTAAAAAAAAGACATTCAGCCAGGTGGTGTGGTGGCCCACGCCTTTAATCCCAGCACTTGAGAGGCAAAGGCAGGCAGATCTCAGTGAGTCCAGTCTAATTTACATAGTGAGTTCCAAGCCAGCTGGGGCTACAGCTGTCTCAAAAACACCCCCTACAAAAAGGCATTTTGAACAAACAAAGGCAGAGAATTTATTAGCAGTCATCCACATTAAAAATATATACTTTAGGGACTGGCTCAGTGGTTAAGAGTGCGTACTCTTCTTGACCTAAATTAGATTCTCAGCACCCACATCAGGCAGCTCATAACTGCCTGTAATTCCAGCTCCACAGGGGCTGGAAAAAATACAAGAAAACATTATAGTTCTTTGGGTAGAAAGAAAAACCATCAAGAGGTGGAGAGAGGAGAAGGGAAAATGTATTAGCTAATCTAAATAAATATTAACTGCATAAAACAACCACACATAGCAATGATCTTGCATGAACAAGAGTATAAAAAGCACCATAGAATAAAAGAGAAAAGGCATTGTAGGCTGGGGAGAATAGCTCAGCTGGTAAAATAATTTTGTCTTCCAAATTTGGACCTAAGTTGGATCCCTAGAATCCACATAAAAAAACTAGACGTGATAGCCAGAGCTTGTAATCTCAGCACTGGGGAGGCAGAAACAGGTGGATACAAAGGGTTTCTTGGCCAGTCAGCCTAGCTGCCTTGGAGCGTTTCAGGTCAACGAAAGACCCTATCTCAAAAAATACAGTGGATGGTGCCTGATGGACAACACCAGAAGTTGTCCTCTGGCCTCCACAACACACATACATGTGAACACATGTACACACACACAATATTCTAAAGTTCCATGTGCTGTGGTAAAAGTTGAAGACAGACTAATTGCACTAGTCTTTTAAAAAATATTTTATTTATTTTTATTTTATGTGTATGAGTGTTATGCCTGCATGTAACTAAGTGCACCCGTGTTGTGCAATGCCCACGAAGGACATAAGAGGCTGTCAGATCCCCTGGAACTGGAGTTACAGACAGTTGTTCGATGCCATATGGGTGCTGAGATTCGAACCTGGGTCTTCTACAAGAACAGCCAGTGTTCTTAATCACTGAGCCGTCTCTCCAGACCAATTGCACTAGCCTTTTAACAAGTCATAAGTACATGTTGAAATTTCATAAACTGACAAAACAATAAAATGTAAAAAAAAATTCTTAGTTTCAGCAAACTGAAACTAAGAATTAGATGGTAGAATAACAAATACCACTATTTACATTACACATAAACTAATCAAAAGACAAAGCTGATGGACTATATCAGAACTGTGTGCAATGTAGTCTACATGTATTATTTGGGTGACATTTTTCAAGTTTTCAAGCACTTTATCAGTTACTATTAATTTATCCAACTCCCTCTAAGTTTAAGAAAGACATAAAAATGTCCACAATAATTTATTTGTTTTGGGAGGTTCTGGCTAGTTCACAGGATGAAAAAGAAAAAAAAAAAAACAAAAAAAAAAAACCACAAAGAATACTGCACCAATGATAGACCTTGAACAATTTCTGATTCTTCTTCTGGTTTGCACTAAGATGCAAACTAGGATACTTCCTATGTTTTTTGTCTGTCTTTGTGGCAATCTATATGGTAGGAAAGTTGGGTGCTGAAAATGGGAAAAGATCACAAAGCAGTCTCTTTGTTTTACAGTAACAAATTGGGAAATTACTTTGGCCCTATCTCCTGTCACCATAACTGGCTGCTGTTTGTCATTCACAACACCAGCACTTAAGAAAAATGGGACTGCTGTCATTTTGAGCTCTTTTATTTTGTAGGCGATTTATTTGAGTGAAGGCATTGTGCTTTTTTCAGAAAAAAAAAAGTCATGTAGGTTGTCAAAAAATAAAGTGCATTTAAACTAAACAACAAAAGGCTAAGAACAGACAAAAAGAAAATTGTTATATGAACAAATGGCATGAGTAAGAAGACAGGATAAACCCAAAAGAATGCAAAAATTAATTAGTAAAAAATTTAAATATTTTAATAAGACCCCAGGATTAAAAGTTTTATTACTTATAATAGGATAAAATAGCAAACGCCTCAGTATACTAGTAAAATAAGATAGACAAAGCCAGATGAGGTAGTACATGCTTGTAATCCCTTCACTTGGGAGGCAGAGACAGGAAAAACAATTTAAGGCCTGCCTAGGCAACACTGCAGACCTTGGCTCAAAAAGCAAAAAAAGATATATAAGATCTTTGCACAAGAATTTCATAAAGGTCACCAAGAGAAATTAAAGAGTACTTAATGGCTATATTATCTTCATGAAATGGAAAGCTTACAACTGCAATATGTCCATAGAGCACAAAGTATATGATAATCTTGTAATGTGTAATTCAAGGTAATCCAGACAGATGTGTGTATGTGTGTTGGTGGCAGAGTGCTACAGGGAAAAAGAAAAAGCTGAATGCAAAATTTATATAGTAACATAAAGGTACTGGACAGTCAAACAATCTTGAAAAAGATGGTGATGAAGAAAAAGAGGGAAAAGAAAGCTCTGCCAAGACATCTGGAGGACTTGTGCTATTGGACTGCAAAACTTGCCACAATAATTGAGTCAACATGAAACATGATGGTGCAAACTACAGACATGATTTAGAACAAAAGTGGCAGCAAAAACCAGTAGGATATCTTCATGACTATGAATCTGACAATGGATCTTGGTGAAAATTGAAAGTACAAGTAACGTAGAAACACAAAAACCCCAGATAAACTGGATTCAAAATTAAAAATTTTGTACATGAAAGAACAATCTCAACAAAATAAAAAGATCACCTGCTAAGTGAAAGAATATATTTGTAAGTTGTGTATCTAAGACAGTGGTGAGAATACATAAGGAACTCTTAAAACTGGATAACAAAAAGACAATCCAGTTAAAAAACTGGGCAAACAACTGGAATGGGCACTGCTCCAAAGATGATACACAAATGGATAATAAGTATATGAAAAGACGTTCAACATCATTAGTCACTGGGGAAATAGATCAAAACCACAATGAGACAATACTCTATACCCACTAAAATGGCTACAATAAGTAAAAGAAATGTGGAGAAATTGCATTCTCACACACTGAGGAGGTGGTAAAAGGTATACTGACTGTGGGAAAGAGTTTGGCACTTTCTTACAAAGAAAAAGATATTACCCTATGGTCCAGAAAATCTACCCTTAAGTATACAGGCACCACATGCAAATGTTTACACTACTCATAATATCCAGAAAGTGGAAACAATCCAAATATTCAATAAATGGTAGTATAGGCAAACAATACCATGTTAGTCAGATATAACAGAGTACAAAGTACTAACACATGCTAAAACATAAACGAACCTCAAAAACACTCCATGTAAAAAGAAGAAAAGAGTGATGTATTACATGATGAGAAATGTCCACAATAGGTAAATATACTGAGATAGGATGCTAATGGCTACCACTTAGCTGACCTAGCTGGTAGTGAAAGGGAAAGAAGCTAAAAGTGACTGCTAAATGCAATTATTTTGGAACTAGATGAGGTGGGCAGTGTTTACATTAAGAACTTTTGTTCATCAAAAGAATTAAGAGACTATATAAAGAAATTCTGTAAGATAGACAAGGATCCATAATTTACAAAACAATGGAAGAAAATTCTAAGCAGGCACTTAAAAAAAAACAAAAACAAAAAATATGTACATAAACCAGGCATGGTGGTACATGCTTTTAATCCCAGGCCTCAGGGAGGCAGAGGCAGGAAGGTCTCTGTGAATTCAAGGCCAGCCTGGTTTATAAAGCAAGGTCCAGGGCAGCCAGCGCTACATAGTGGAGACCCTGTCTCAAAAAATATTCAAAAAACAAAGTATGAACACATGTGTGTGAGCACACGCACACACATACACACACACACACACACACACACAAATGAAAAAGGAACATGCTATTACTCACAAAATGGCTATAGTGTGAAATCCTGGCATGCCCATAATAAAAGAGTAAATGGTACAACTAGAACACTCTCATTCAGGGGAAGTAGTAATGTTAATTGGTACAACTATCATGAAAAGCAAATTAGGCAAAAATCCATTAAAACTGACAAAATTTACCCTATGATACAGCAATTACAGCTCAACAGAAATGCATTCGTATATGCAAACAACATATGTAACAAAGTATTGAAAGAAATATTTAACACTGAAACAATGGAAATGTTCAGCAGAAAAAAATAAATACAGATACATGTGGTATATACAATTGAGTGTATACAAACAATGCTATGCTGCACAGCAAAGAAAATGAACCAGCTACTACCTGCAGCAACAGGAACTGATCTCACAAACCAACCTAATACTGTATGAAGAAATCTATACAAAGAATTTACTCTGTATAATTCCACTTATAAACATTCAAAAACAGTAAACAGTAAGATGGCTCAATGGGTAAAGGCACTTGCTGCCAAGCCTGACCACCTGAGTTCAACCCCAGAGCCTGCACAATAGAGGGAGAGAACTAACTCCTGCAAGTTGGTAGAGCTGTATGATGCGCAAACATATAAATAAATAGATGTTTTAGACAAATTTTTAAAAGGTCGAGAACAGGTAAAAGTGATGTAGAAGTTGGAATAATGGTTACTTTCAACAAGTGGATATGGGAGGCATAAATAGGAAAAGGAAACAAGGAGGCTTCTTTTTCATCACTTGGTTAATTGAAAATGTTAATTTTGTGATAATGACAACTGTTTTAAACTATTTTTCTGGTATGCTTCATGTCAATAAATTTTTTTAAAGAAAACAAAATAGCAAGGATACAGAACATATGAAATACATGATTAGCAAGCATGACCTCAGCAGTAAAAATGTATGCAATACTATCCATACAGAAAGAAATAAGGACAAAATAACTACAGAAACGGTACAGCAAAATTTGTAGACATGACAATTAATACAGGTCCTTTGTTTCTAAATCAGTGGAGATTCTAGACAACTAAAGTTACATATCCATGAAACATCAGGTCTAATAAATACAATTCTTTTCTCTTAGCCCCAGGAACTATTTTTTTCTAAGACCTCTTACCTTAAAGTAACAAAACCAACATATAAAAATCAATAGCTTTTCTACACTCCAGTTACAAATTTGCTGAGAAAGAACTTCCATTTTAAGTAGGCACTAATGAAAACCACACAGAAAAATGACCTCATAAAACCCTAGAATAAAAATTATGAAATACTGAAGAAACAAACTGATGAAGAAGTGAATAAACAGAAAGACCTTCCATGCTCATGGATTGGAAGAATACTGACCTTCATATTCCAAAGCAGCCTACATTATTCAATGCAATCCTTATCAAAATACCAATGACATTCTTCACAGAACTAAAAAAAAAGAACTCTAAAATTTATATGGAAGCAGTAGAGACACAGAAAAGCAACAGCAATCTTTAACAGAAAGAGCAATGCTAGTAGTATCACAAAATCTGATCTCAAGACATACTACTGAGCCCCAGAAACAAAATCAGAATATTTGCATAAAAACAAGCAAAACAAAGCAACAACAGAGGACCCAAGGAAATCCACTCATCTTCCTCCACCTGATTCTCAACAAAAGGGCCCCAAACATACACTGAAGAAAAGACAGCTTCTTCAACAAATGGTGATGGAAAGGTGTCTATCTCCTAATATAAGACTAAAATGTGACCCTTATCTCTCACCCTGTATGGAAATCAATTCAAAATGGATTAAAGACATCAATGTAAGATCTGAAATTGGAAGCTACTTGGGAAAAACACTTCACAGGCAAGCATAGGACTTTAAAAGCACAGGAAACAAAAGCAAAATTTAATGAATGCTATTGGATCAAATTAAAAAGGTTTTGCACAGTAAAGAATAAAAGAAACACTGACCAAGTGAAGAGACAACATACAGAATGGGAGAAAATTATTAGTAGTTATTCATCTGACAAAAAATTAAAATCAAAAAAAAAATTTTTTTCTTTTTGAGACAGGGTCTCCCTGTAGCCCCAGCTGTCCTGGAACTCACTATGTAGACCAGGCTGGCCTTGAACTCACAAGAGATCCGCCTGCCTCTACCTCCCAAGTGCTGGGACTATAGGCATGTGCCACCACACGTGGCTTAAAATCCAAAATTTATAAAGACCTAAAAAAAAATAATAATATCTTAAAAAAACAAGTCATCCACTTTTTTTTTTAATTGGGGAAATGATCTAAAGAGACAATTCTCAAAAGAATCCAAATAGTCAATAAATACATGGAAAATTCTATCATTAGCCACCTAAAGTACATCTAAAACTACAACAAAATTCCATCTCACTCATTCGAAAGGGTATTAATTTTTTAATTAAAAAATAAGAAACGCTAGTGACCATATGAAGAAAAAGGAACCCTGAGCATATATCCAAAGGAAATGAAGTCAGCATATAAAAGGACATACCTGTATATCCATGCTGATTGTGGCACTATTTATAATAGCTAAGATATGCACATAACTTAGGTGTCTATCAGTAGATGAATGGATAAAGAAAATATATAAATACAAGGATGGGGCTGTGGAGATGGCTCAGCAGTTAAGAGCACTGGTTGCTCTTGCAGAGGAGCCAGGTTCGACTCCCAGCACCCATATGGC